CGTAATCAATCCACCTAAATTAAACATACGGTATTACATACCAACTGTTTGTTACGTACTGAAGCGCGGTTTTGTTTTGTTTGTAATCTACAAGCCAACGCCACTTGAACCAAAATTGCAACTAAATCAATCAATAATGAATAATAGGGAATCAAGAAAAAAATCTAATTTGAATGAAAAAAAAAAATACATTTGGTGTGTTTGTGTGAGTGTATCTGTGTGCCCGTGAGTTTGTGTGTGTGTGTGTGGGGGGGGGGGTTATACATCGAATCAAATTCTAACATCATAAAGATGGTATCACTCATATTAATAATCGGAAAAATGTAATCCTTGTTTTAATGAAATATTCCCGCTTTCTCCCAACCCGGAAGCCGTAACCATTTAAATTTGTTTATTATCGCACTATTTTGCAAAACAAGCAGGTCAAGGACATATGCAGACCTTGAAATTAAATTATCACGGTGTTTTAGGTCTGACAATTTTCACTGCATTTTATAACAACTTGGACCAAATCTCTATTTTATGGTCTTCAATATTTTGCACACACTCGACCTCCTTAAAACATTAGTCGGTGCTTGAATGAGGTCGTACGCGCATTAAAGAGATCTATAGGGTTCAACGCGTTATACATATTAAAAATGAAATGTAAGGAGATACAATCCGGCAGAAACATTCACAACATCGTCGACGTGATCATCATAGCCTTGATGTGGACCCGGTGGACCCTGGACTACTTGCTCATGACGAACGCCGATCACCTCGACAAGAGCAGGAACTACATCTTGTTGGTGTTCAACTCTCTCATGGGCGTGCGCATCCTCAGTGTGTTCCACGTCACTAAGCACAGTCCTCCTCTCAAGGTTCGTGCTATTTTTTAAAAATCCTTGAAACTAACTTCGCTTTTTTATTGTGAATGGGTTGCTGGGTGGCTGGCTGGGTGGCAGACACAATCTTCGGACGATTAATCGACACACTTCCGGTCAAGCTATCGAGCTGAAACTTAGCACAAAGACTCGTTGCTGATAACAACATATTCTATAAAATTTTCCGCCCCTCCACCCCCCCTCCAAAAAAAAAATAAAAAAAAATCAGTCCTTTCTGTTTTTCAAGGGGAAGTTGAAGGGAAATTTCCAATGACTGCGCAAAATGAGATTCTTCTAAAAAATAAATACCGCAAGTGCGTTTGGTGCGTAACATTTCCTTATGTTTTTTTCCCAAAATAGTTGGTGAATTAAATATGCGGTGCGTAAGCAGGTGGGTCTTTAAAATCTATATATATAATTCGCCAGCAAAGGTTAAACACCACTACGCAGGCTATATATAGATAAGCCAGAGTGTGGCTAAATAATGAGTTCGCTGGCGCGCAAAATATAATTCTCGATAACTACGCTAAATGATATCTATATTTATATAATAATGCAACTGCGTTTGGGGCGTAATATTTTCTGTTCGGAAATGAATTCGTCTCAATTTAAGTATTGTGTAAAAAAATATTCGGTTTAAAAGTGGTTTGGACATGAGAATATTAATATAGTTCATGGGCGTGAAATAAAAAGTGTGCAGTGACGTATCATGGGGGGAAGGGCTGTAGCAAATATTGCGCTTCTTAAATGTGCGTTTCTGCGACGTATGCTACGTCGCGGGGCGACTAGTATTGATATAATTCAAGGGCTTGAAAAAAATTGTGCGTTTGTGAGCCATGGAAGGGGGGGGGGGCATTGAGTGGTGTTCTTATTGAGTGGGATATTTGTTTCGCATGTTTTGTCACATTTTTAGCCCCACCCCCACGTTGCTCGAAATAACATTTTATAAAGAATTTACTCTTAAAACTTGTTTTAGAGATTTACATTTTTTTAAAAATTCGTTCAGTGAAAGCTGTAATGGGTTTGGGGGGGGGGGGTAAGTAAAAATCGGATCACGCTGTTAGCAGGGTCCCGTTTATTCGGTATTCTATAATAGAAGATTGGCGATGATTTTTTTAACATTTTTTTTCGTTAAGGGCTTTTAAATCTCATGGGGTTAGTGAGCTATGTGGAGTTGAATTGTGGCTAATTTTAGAAGATGTGTAATTATTCTGTTTAAGTGAGCATACATATTTTGATACTCCTTTTTTTTTTCAAATTCTTCGGAAAAATTCTTTGCGAACATAGAAATATCCGATTTCGCTTTTTAAAGGGATTCCACTGTATACTCATGTATATAGTATCATGATCAAATTAGAGAAGTACGGCAAATAATAAATGAATACGTCATTCTCAAACAGTGTTTTAAGAATTAGATGTACAATATTATAACATATCTTAAAACGTAATTTAAGTCTTCTAGTTATTTAAATTTTTAAAAATGAAATCTCTTGAATGTCGTCCTATACATTTCGAGCCAGAGTGTCGGAAGAGACCATTAGGCACACACGCATGAAAGCCATACTATGTATCCCAAACCAAATGCGTACCTTAGGAAGGATCCTTAGGATATCTAATGGCGAGCTGAGATGATGCTTGGAAGTAGCAACCGTTACTGTAACCGTGGAGTGAAGTCGCTGGCAACAGCTTAGACATATTGGTAGAATGTCATCACTTCCAATGGCCACACACAGACGTAGGGCAAAGGAAGAAGAAAGCAAACAAGAATGCACAGACGAAAATTGAATGGGTCCTGCAGAAAAGTGGCCAGACTGTATAGACGGCCACCCACAGAAACAGAAGCCGGGACTGTATAGACGGCCACCCACAGAAACAGAAGCCAGACTGTATAGACGGCCACCCACAGAAACAGAAGCCGGACTGTATAGACGGCCACCCACAGAAACAGAAGCCGGACTGTATAGACGGCCACCCACAGAAACAGAAGCCGGACTGTACAGACGGCCACCCACAGAAGCCTGGCTGGTGGCGGCAAAAATCTTGGTCGACCTCTGGCGGCACTAACCCCTTGCCACGCCGCTGAAGCTACGTATAGCTCAAAGTTTTGATACAATTTTGATTTTTAATTTAAAAATAAAATAAATTGTCTCCAATTCAGACCAAGGAAGAAGAAAGCAAACAAGAATGCACAGATGAAAATTGAATGGGTCCTGCAGAAAAGTGGCCAGACTGTATAGACGGCCACCCACAGACACAGAAGCCGGGACTAAATAGACGGCCACCCACAGAAACAGAAGCCAGACTGAATAGACGGCCACCCACAGAAACAGAAGCCGGACTGTATAGACGGCCACCCACAGAAACAAAAGCCGGACTGTACAGACGGCCACCCACAGAAACAGAAGCCGGACTGTATAGACGGCCACCCACAGAAACAGAAACCGGGACTGTATAGACGACCACCCACAGAAACAGAAGCCGGACTGTACAGACGGCCACCCACAGAAGCCTGGCTGGTGGCGGCAAAAATCTTGGTCGACCTCTGGCGGCACTAACCCCTTGCCACGCCGCTGAAGCTACGTATAGCTCAAAGTTTTGATACAATTTTGATTTTTAATTTAAAAATAAAATAAATTGTCTCCAATTCAGACCAAGGAAGAAGAAAGCAAACAAGAATGCACAGATGAAAATTGAATGGGTCCTGCAGAAAAGTGGCCAGACTGTATAGACGGCCACCCACAGACACAGAAGCCGGGACTGAATAGACGGCCACCCACAGAAACAGAAGCCAGACTGTATAGACGGCCACCCCCAGAAACAGAAGCCGGACTGTATAGACGGCCACCCACAGAAACAGAAGCCGGACTGTATAGACGGCCACCCACAGAAACAGAAGCCGGACTGTATAGACGGCCACCCACAGAAACAAAAGCCGGACTGTACAGACGGCCACCCACAGAAACAGAAGCCGGACTGTATAGACCGCCACCGACAGAAACAGAAGCCGGGACTGTATAGACGGCCACCCACAGAAACAGAAGCCGGACTGTACAGACGGCCACCCACAGAAGCCTGGCTGGTGGCGGCAAAAATCTTGGTCGACCTCTGGCGGCACTAACCCCTTGCCACGCCGCTGAAGCTACGTATAGCTCAAAGTTTTGATACAATTTTGATTTTTAATTTAAAAATAAAATAAATTGTCTCCAATTCAGACCAAGGAAGAAGAAAGCAAACAAGAATGCACAGATGAAAATTGAATGGGTCCTGCAGAAAAGTGGCCAGACTGTATAGACGGCCACCCACAGACACAGAAGCCGGGACTGAATAGACGGCCACCCACAGAAACAGAAGCCAGACTGTATAGACGGCCACCCCCAGAAACAGAAGCCGGACTGTATAGACGGCCACCCACAGA